TAGATGATGCTATTATATTTGTGTTGTTAACAAGTATGTTACGAATAGCGTCCGGTAGGTCTTCATGAATATTTAAATGAGATCTAATTGAGCAATGATCAAAAAGGTGTAGAGTGAGTCTGCATGTCAAACATGTAGTGTGGTCTATATAATTATTTACGAATTTTGATTGCTCAGGAATACAATGGGCATTTAAGTTCATAAATAATATTTGTCCTATTTGTATACAATATTTGCCCTCATATATATAAGTTACGAAAAACTTGGTAATCCGTATGGGTAGTCCCAAGGAGGATGAAATCCTGAGAGCTCAATGTAAATAATTTAAAGAAAAACAGACCACTTTAGGGCTCCATTGTAATAGTTTACTTCACCAGAGACCTTTTAAAGGGCGCTGGATCATCAGACATCACTTTCAAAAGATGAAAATATACTCTTTTGACGGGTAGTATTAAGTTTATGTAATTTAACAGAGAGGGTAGCGAGGAGTGGTGTGAGAGACATAGTCGAGTTTAGAGAGGGTTTTTTTAATATTTCTTTCCATCATACTTAGTATTGAGGAAGGAGGGACCAGACATTGACCTATTTAATCGGTTAACTTAACTGAATATATATTGATGCATGTTTCATTAAATAGTATAGACAAGTTTTGTCTATTTATTTTAAGTAAGTTCCTTTCATATTGTCTGATAAGCTTAATAACATTATCATTGAAGGACGAAAGGAAATCACCATATTGATACATGTTTAAATCCGATCTAAGCTTTCGGCTTATATAGGCCATTATCAAAGATGACAATTACTTTTCAATATATCAACCAATACACGGAACACTAATGATAGTATGTTTTTGTTGTATGAATAACAAACTTGTCTATATTATTTAATGAAACATGCATCAATGAAAAATTGCTGCCTAAATATATATATATATATATATATATATATATATATATATATATATATATATATATATATATATATATATAGCTATTTTTAAAAAAAGTAAATGCTACGAACTGTGGAGTGAATGTTTACTGCAATTGTTCTTTCTTCTCATTTGTGTGTGTATATATATATATATATATATATATACACACACACACACACATGCATAAATATTATACAAAGTTACAAAAATTTACATAATAGTTTTTTTTTTTTTTAAATAAAGATTAAATGGAACAAAGGAAATAAGCTACTGGATAAAAGTTAAGGAACGAGCTTGTTAATACTTGATTGTGAACAAAATATCAACAAAATTTAATATTTGGTAAACATCCCCTTATTTTCAATGACTTCTCTGCATCGTCGACCACATGATCGAATTAATTTCTTGCAAAAATCAGCAGTGATTCCCTCCCATTTGTCTTTCAATAACTCCCATAGGTGATCCTGGTTTTTCGGGTTTCTTTTCTGAGCCCATTCTCCAATTATCTTCCAAACATTTTCTATTGGATTCTTGTCGGGGCTCTGGGCTGGCCACTTCATTAGGGCGATTGCTTCTTCTTCAAATAAAGCCATAACCTTCTGAGCCTTGTGGCAAGGTGCATTGTCCTGCATGAAAATTGAAGAATCATAAAGATTATGGTGTAATCCTGGTACCACATGCTGCTGAAGAAGCCTTTTGTAAATCTCAGCATTGTTATTGCCATGTACGCGGATGATAGGGCCAACTCCTGCAAATGAAATCATTCCCCACACCATCACACTGCCGCCACCAAACTTAATGGTTTTCTTGACACATTGAGAAGACAGTCTTTCACCTGTTCTACGGCGTACGTAAGTTTTGCCCTCAGAACCAAATATAGTAAACTTGGACTCGTCACTGAAATTAACTGTATCCCATTGTGCATCAGTCCAAACAACATGTTCTCTCGCATACTCCAGGCGTGCCCTTTCGTTTCGCTTTGAAATGAGAGGTTTCGAAGCTGGAATACGGGCATACAATCCTGCATTTTTTAACCTGAGAGCAACCGTTTTCCTTGATATCTTATTATCTGTCTCTTCATTAAATTTACGGGCAATTCATATAGCAGTTTTGAAACGGTTTTTTGTAGATATTCTAACAATTCTTCGATATTCTCTTTGCGATGTTTTTGGAGGTCTGCCGGTTTTTGGTTTTGCATCTAACGTTTTATCGGTTTTATACCTGCTAATTACACGATGAAGGACACTTTTTTAGACCTATGAACAATATCAGAAATTGACTTTTTTCTTGATAGCGATAATGTTTTTTTTCTTCAAAAGAGAGCGTTTTGCGTGTAGAATTTGCCATATTGCTTAAAAATAAAGTCCTAATGATAAATGAACTTTTACTTATTGTTGAAAAGCTCCATCGAGCTTTTTAACAATATAAATTAAAAGTTTATGCAAATTATTAACATCGTTCCTTAACTTTTGTCCAGTAGCTTATTTCCTTTGTTCCATTTAATCTTTATTTAAAAAAAAACAAAAACTATTATGTAAATATTTGTAACTTTGTATAACCCTATCCGCCTCATCTTGTAATTAAGATTTAACCATTTAGTAACCATTAAGATTTAACCATTCATCGCGTAAGCCATGGTTAATCTTAAGCCATCTTAAATACAGTAATTTATTTTTTGTTCAATAAAAACTTAATAAACATCTTTAATTTTGCCACACTATATATATATATAGTTCATGCCACTTTGACAGTAAAATTTACCAGTAAAATAATTTGTTCATTACCATATTTGGTATAAACGCAAACACTTTAAAAAAATTTTTCAAACTCAGCGTTGCTTTTGTGCGCGTTCAAAAACCAATATCTCATTTTCAATAGCATTTCGGATACAATACACATATTTTTCGATGTCCTCTTATTACTAAGAGAAAAAAACAAGAACAACATCTATTATATACCTGAAGATGTCTGTAGGAACAGACGAAAGCTTGTAGTAAAAATAACAACTAATACCGCAGAAATTTATATAAACAAGGATCAATTCATTCATAACGGATCTGGAGGTTTTTGTGTACTATTTGAATTGTTTGCGAGATGGATGTCTCGCCATTTAAATCATTAACCTTTGCATTAGTTTTGTGTGAATAATTCATGTATATATATATATATTGCACACGTGTTAAAAGTTTCTGGGACCAACGTAAGGAGGAATTTAAAAAAAAAAAAAAAATTTTTAAGAATTTATTCGGTCGAGAATTTCTCGTATTCCTCCCCGTCTGTGTGTGTGTAACATTTTCACAGTCTCCTGCCGTTATATTTCTTAAGAAAACTGCACAGATAGTCTTAATTTATATATATATATATATATATATATATATAAATTATGTCCAGAAAAGAAAACCCTTGTACAAACACAAGAAAAATTAAAAAGCTTAATCGCAGTACCTTTAACGAAACATGTATAAAAGAAGGATTATTGTCTAAATACACACACACACACACACATATATATAGTCTTAAGATGTGCTATATTTATGGGATAAAGTGATCAATATCAGGGATGGAGCGTGTGTAAATATATAAGTGACCATAGAAGTCAACACTTAGAGGCGACAGTCTGTTTCATGCTAGATGCAATCGTCAGGCCACGATTGCATCTGGCATGAAACAGACTTCACCTCTAAGTTTTGACTTCTATGCTCACTATATATATATATATATATATATATATATATATATATATATATATATATATATATATAATGCTGCCACTGAACTCTCGCGTCATTTTCGACGTATGTGGGTCAAGCAGCTCAGTTTTAGAACCACAACTCTGAATTCAAAACCTGCGGAGGGTCGTTTGAAGACCTTTTAGCATACTGTGCCCCCATTTCTTTGTATTCAGCTCTTCTAAAAAAGTAGTTGGAGATATCTATGTATCACTCTTACACACACACACATATATATATAATACACACACACACATATATATATATATATATATTTATTAAAGACATTTTTATTTATGTTTAACGTTGTTATTTTATAGATACAAGTATTTAAGCAAATGCTCTGTTTATGATAAACAGTATTAAATAACATTTACCGGCCTTTACAGGTTCATGGTGGCCGAGTGGTTAAGGCACGTCAGCGTATATGACGGTTCCGTATAGGATGCAGGTTCGAATCCTGTCTATGAACGAATATTTTCTATGAAAATTTCTCGGACATTCAGGCCGGTAAATGTTATTTAATACTGTTTATCATAAACAGAGCATTTGCTTAAATACTTGTATCTATAAAATAACAACGTTAAACATAAATAAAAATGTCTTTAATAAATAAATTGTCGGACCTCGTCCATTTCTTAATATATATATATATATATATATATATATATATATAGTTGTTGACTGTTATCGAGGAATCCCTCTGCCCAGCTATACCGTTTTAACGACTGCACTGGTTCCATACATATCTGTGGAGCCCAGTCTACACAATTTTGATAGACGTCCATTGGCCTTAAGAGAAGGTTCATCCGCACTTTGACAAGTCTTGTTTTTAAACCTCCTGGTCGGCAGAATCGATTTAGTGACCGATGATCCGACGAGGAAGCAGTTATTACTGTATTGGATGCTACTAGTAACTGAGATAATTACAATGAAATAAAAACACTAGATTTAATCGATTGAATTTGTTAGATATCTATGGTTGTCCTTCGAGTCCAAAGAAGAATCTGTTTTGTTATTTATCAGTGGATCCGTAAGTGGTTCCGCATACCATGTCTGGACGCGCAGGGTTCGGAACAGTGAGGACACTGGAAGTCGGTAATTGTGACCAATTCCCAAGTTGCACGATGGTGTTGTTTCCTTTGATTATCTTTTTGGCGATGAGCTTACTTGTTGATTCCAGATACTTATATTAGATAATTATGTTTGTAATTGTAATAATAGCCGTTTCCTTATAAGGAAACATTAAGCACTGATTGATGAGGAGGGTTCCTTCTTAATCTTTTGTTTAAAGTAGTGTGGAATGTAAACATCTTACGTCATTAATTTCGCTTTGAGGCTTACGGCTATATCATGTTGAAACACCTGTTCCCGTACGATCGCCGAAGTAAAGAAACGTCGAGTCTGGTCAGTACTCAGATGGGACACCGCTTGGGAATATCATGTGCTGTAAGCTTGTATTTCAGGTAATGTAATAGATAATGGCTCGGAATTGTTTATCGGAGAGCCGAGTTTCAACATTTACTGCGGGATAGCTGAGTAATATTCACTTGTCTTGATTATTGCGCACGCAGTGCGTGTTACTAAATAGTTCTCTTGTGCAGTAATTTAAACAAGTAAGATCAGTAAAAAAAAAAAAAAAAAAATTAGCCCATTAACTACATTCTTTAGCTTTCCGTAGCGAATGTATGCAACCAACGCTAGTAATGGCTGCCGCGACGCGAATGAATCCGAACTTTTACTATCGATAACTCCAAAACAGTAGATTTTTATCAAATTTATCAAGTCAGATTCGAATGAAGCATTTACAATTACACATTACGTATTCGGGAAATTTTTAATGCGAACGCAGAGGCTAAACTGAAAATTAACCAAGTTTGTTTGCTGAAATAACATCATGATGGCTAATTCTATCATGTTTAGTTACTTAGCAACCACACTACATTTCGGCGACCTTCGCCATATTGAATTCTACTTAGCATCACGACATTGTGATTTGGTTTCCCGCCAATTTCTGGGTTTATTTAACGGCATGCCTTGTTCGGCATCTTCATCATTCAACACGTTGCCATTTTGGACTTTTACTTACCAGTCCCAAATTACGTTATTCAAGTGATTTCATTTGAGCTTATGAACTAAGACTTGTCATTCACCGACGTATTATTAATTTCAACGTCGATGAGTTTACGATGAGTTACGAACTTTTCCTTTTATCAAGGACTATATCAAACACGCACATTTCCAAAGATTTACTACTTGCAAGTAGTTATCTTGCTCCTTTTCAGGACTATTAAATTAACTACATTTGCATATCCACACATTGACACTTTGGAACATTTTGGTGTGTTTTAATATTTCACTCTCTTATCAGGTGATGACTCTTTTCAATTCTTACAAATCAACAAATGTATATAATTGTAATTAAGTTGTTGGTTGCCAATAATACAACTTTGACCTTTTTATTAAGAACTCTGCTTTTGTTGTAATTCACTTTTTGGTATCAATATCTTCTTGTATATTCTTTATATCTTATCTACGTGCCAGCCCCTCTGGGGATTGCTACAATGGCATATATGCCATCATTACACCCCTTACAAGAATGAAAACTAAACTAGGTTGTGAGGAGTTGACTTTCATAAAACGATGAGGGTCGAGTTAATATAATGTTCATTAATACTTTCACCATGATAGATCAAATTGAGATACGTGTGTGGGTGTTGGCGATTATCTTTTGATTACATAATGCGTGATAAACGCCATTTTTTTTTAAAATTTTTATTTAATTTTTATTTAATTTTAATTTTTTTTATTTTGATTTTCTTTTTCTTAGATGCGTTTCTGATTCGAAACTTCCTTCATGAAATTGAGAAACGTGTTATTGAATTCGTGGAGAAGGTAAGCTATTTTCAAAAGTTCAGCCTCAATGTCAAGTTATGCTTTATTATTCTTTCTTTCTTTTATTTTTTAAAGAGTTTTATCATCTTGGATAACTTTTAGTCAGGTATCTCGCTATAACGGTGTCGTCGAAGGCCGCTCGCTATAACGGTGTCGCCGAAGGCCGCTCGCTATAACGGTGTCGCCGAAGGCCGCTCGCTATAACGGTGTCGCCGAAGGCCGCTCGCTATAACGGTGTCGTCTAAGTTATCTTAATATATTTTTCTAGTGTCAGTTTTTTTTCTATATATTTAAACTATAACTATAAACAGTCATTTGGGGAAGTGAAAATATCACCGAAATATGTTGGAAAATATCCAATTTTTAGTCTGAAATCCAAAAAATACGAACTTTAAGAAATGGTCATAATGTTTGGCGGGGGAGTCGCAAACTTAACACGAGGAGGATATGACATAAATCTACTTCTTTGACAGTTGAGATCACCATGAATTCGATTGTGATAAACGATATAAAAAAGATCATTTAATTTTTTTTTTTTTTTTTTTTTTTTGCGATCGTTGTTTAATCTGTCGGAGTTAACTCTTCCTTAATTTCCTAATTGTTCACTCGGGGTCGCTCTCCCGACACTATACATACTGGGCGATTTCTTGCCTCGTTTTCTTTTTACTTTGCATTTCAGCGAACACATTTCAAAAATGTGATCTCTCGCAGAGATCTGCGTTTTGCCCACTTGTGGGAAAACGTCACGAAACACACACACACACATACACGTACGTACGAACATTCATCAAAACACGAACTCTTTACGTTCACGCACAAAAACAAATGTTGATGTCTTTGTCTATTGTAAATTTTGTTGTTTAATACATATACTTGTTCTTTATATATATATATATATATATATATATATATATAATTTCGGTTGGACTCAACTTGAGTCAGCTATATTCTTGTAGTGGACTTTTTAATATTCTGTCAGAAGTTACACACGTGTTCCTAATTTAGCAACACCTAAACCCACGGTCCGCTACAAAACTTTTTTCTTGTTTGTTTTTTTTTTGTTTTTTGTTTTTTTTTTTTTTTTAAGTTATTTACCCTTTAGTTGTGTTAGCTTAGCGTGATACAAGACCACAAAAATTGTTCACCTGTGGGAATTAAATTCGGTGACAGAGATCGGTGTTCAGTTCCGGGCGGAAGATTTTGAATGCGGATTTTCTCGGCAAGCATATCTCTACATGGAAGGCGGACGTTACAGTCTTAAATCGTGAAAAACGAAGTTTAGTAAATTCCTTTACGGCAGCAAATGTTGGACCGTCTCCTCAAAGATGATGAAGAGACTCTAGGCAACTGCTAAGGATACCATGGACCGAACATGTGAGCAACCATGAGGTTTTGGAAAGGATGCAAACAAGAAGGAAGCTTATAGTTAACATCAGGTAGAGGCAGTTGAAATTTCTGGGACACGTAAGAAAGGAAAGGCTTGGAGAATCTGATACTCGCAGGGCGGATAGAGGGAAAGAGAGACAAGGGGAAGCAACGCTTGACATACCTAGTGGGCTTATGCAAGTGGATGTCAGAACGGGTTCGGGAGAAGTAGCAAAAGGACAAATCAAATTGAGGTATAGGAGGAAGTGGAGAGCCATGATCGCCTACGTACTGAATGGACACGGAACATAAAAGAAGCTTGTTGATCATTATTCTAAACTAAGTCACATCTTCGCTAATCCTGTTTTATTACGAGTTATTTATCGTGGAAAAAAAAATCAGATATATTTCAATTTTCACAAATTCTACAATCTATATAAATAAGAGTTGCAAAAATGAACAGATCTATACAGTTTCAAATTATAGGAGATATATTATTAAAACATATTAAAAAAAAATAAATGCCTCATTTCATTGATAATTATTTGTGGAGCGAAGACGTAAATAAACGCCAAGGTAGTTAAACACTAAATGACAAAAAAGTGGTTTCTGAGTCGATAGACTGGAGTTACTCAAGGGAATTAACTGAAATCGAGATATCCAAAAAAGGCATGAGACGTAGAATTAGAGCAATCTACCGCCGTTGACTAAATAATAGGCCGTCCTGGGTATGACGATAAACTACATCCGCGTCCTGGGTATGACGATAAACTAAACTACATCCGACAACAATGCCTTTGATCAGGATGTTATATTATATAATGTTATACTCTTCAATTATCACACTTTTAAATATAACTTAACATGTTTTTGTTAAATATTAGCGCGGAAACTGATGTCTACACCTCGGTTCGTACTTTTAGCGTAGACTATTTTATAGGTTTTCAAAGACATGTTAAAAAAGAAAAAAAAAATCAAAAACAACTTCCATTTTTGAGTCTGTTTCCGTTTGTATGAAAACTTTGTATTCGAAAGAAGCAACTTGACTTAAAACATTCTTTGGAAAACTACCTCAATTTTATTTATTTATTTATTTATTTATTTGCTTACGTTATTTACATTATTCCGAGTGTAATCCTCATTTTCATTGCCAGATTCACAACGTTTCGGCCGTTTCTCGTTCCGTCCATCTTCAGATAATTTGAAAGTCGAACCGAACCCCTTATTTCGTCCATGCCTCTTCTGGATGTCTCAGTTATTTCCCTTTAACCAAGCTTTCCAATTTTGGATCACCACTTCTGTGGCCTGGTATTGAACTCCCAACTCTTTGGGTTTAGTCACTGGAGTTAAAGGGAAATAACTAAGACATCCGGAAGAGGGATGGCACATGGAACTAGAACTTTCTACCTCCGTGGACGAAATAAAGGGTTCGGTTCAAAATTCCAATTACCTGAAGAAGGCTGGAGCGTCCAATAGCCAAAACGTTGTGATTGTGGCAATGAAGATGAGGATAACAGTCCGAATAATGTAAATAATACAAGATATCTCAAAGATATAGATATTTATTTTATAACCAGTTCACCTCAAGCAAGGAAATAATGCCACTAAGACGCAAGAGGCTACTGGGATTCACTCTCAGAGAATGAAAAAGTTTTTTAGAAGGAACCGGAAACCGAGTAGTACAGGAAACAAAGAATGAAGCTCTACTTCTGTTCAAAAGACCAGGGAGGAGTGTAAACCGGGCGATAGGCGAACCTATCTACTATAAAATTTTATATTTTCACTTTATCTGTTTCTTTCTTTTCTGGACATGATGAATATTTTAACATGGCCGAATCTTCACCCGCTCAACCTCCCACAAGATGATAAAATAAATAGAATTTACATGTATAGTGTCTTATCTCTATTATTAAAACTTAGAGGAAAATTTTCTTCTCTGGATAAAATCTCTTCCTGAAAAAACTGTTACGGACAGATAAACAAAAACAGATAAAGTTTAATATATAAACAGTTTAATATATAAACAGCGCATAGTTTACAAAGATTACATGAGACTACACAAAAAAAATTAAAGAAAGAACAAAGTTATTTTTTTATTGGAAGGTTGTAAAATAAAAAGATATAAAAATAAAATCGAATTTGACGAAATCGATAAAAGAAGTGAGAATCATTCTTTATGATTAGCAAATACCAA